TTTGGCTTCTATAATTGAAACACTGTTGCAACTCCAGCTCTGAGGCCCAGCTGGCTGAAAGCAGGTTTCTAGGGTTTGTTTAGCTTCTATAATTGCAACATTGTTTCTTAGAGTGAGGCCGGCAGGCCGGCAGCGGCAGGCGGGGAACGTTGGAGTCCTCCGTCACTGAAGCAAGCAAGCCTCATGTTCGCTTCTGGCTGCCGGATAAAATACACTTTGCTTAATTAGACCTGCTTTCTGATGTAGCTAAACTTTTTCCAGCCCAGTGAAGCACCCCCAATTTCTCTTTCAGGTAATTGTCAGCAACACAGCAGTAAATATCAACACAAAGCAGATTATTATTGTAGACCACACAGGGAGAACAAAGGGTAAAATATTTAACTGCAGCAGTGTTTGACTATATTCTGCACAGTGAGAAACCTGAAGTCATTTTCAAGGACCACTATTTCTTACTTCTCTTCAGTCGGGTCAAGTCTCTAAACTTTCTAAATGTCCATTTTCCGGTTAATGAAAAGAAAACAGGATTCCACCTATCTACCTACTCCAGGACTTCTGTGAGGATCAAATGAGATGAGGCACGGGAAAACACTTCACAGACATTTGGTTGAAGTGTGAAATGTTTACACCTGGCTATAAAGCAAGTCGTGTTTCTGGGCTGAAAAAACTGCAAGGAGGCTAGTCATCGCTAGGGGTTGGAAGCCGGGCGTTGCTACGTGACGTCATTACCCGGCACCCACAGTGACCGTTGCTGGCTAGGGATCGCATTTTGCACCATGGGGTCTCAGCAGTGTAGGCTGCAATTTGGTGGGCTGTCGCTCCTAGGTGGTAGCGGGGCCTGTGTCCCATTTGGGGGAAGCTGAGTGTTGCCTTGTGGGCGACAGGTCTGAGGTGCCAGTGCGCGTCACAGCAGCTCCTGCATTAAACATCTGCCCCCTGGTGGTCAGTGCTAATCATAGCAACTGGTCAGACAGTCGGACACTTAGCATATTAGCCTTTTATATATATAGATTATATATATAGATAGATGCCTGAAAGAACTGAAAACAAGATCTCAAAGACACAGCTGCATACCCTAGTTCACTGTATTAGCATTAGTCACACTAGCCAAAAGGTTAAAGCAACCCAAATATCCATCAACAGATGAATGGATAAAGAAAATGTAGTATATACATATAACAAATATTATTCAGCCTTAAAAAAAAAGGGGAAAAGTCTGCCATATGCCACAACATAAATGAAAATTAAGGAAATTACACTAAAAAAAATAAGCAAGTCACAAAAGACAAATATCATGTGACTCCATTTATACGAGGAATCTAAAGTAGTTAAACTAACAGACACAGAAAGTAGGAGGGTGGTTGCCAGGGCTAGGGGAGGAGGAAATGGGGAGTTGTTGTTCAGTGGATAGAGAGCTTCAGTTTTGCAAGATGAACAAGTTCTGGAGATTTACTGCATAACAGTGTGAATGTACTTACTACCACCAAACTGTGTACTTAAAAAATAAAATAAAAAGAATGAGGCCTCCAATGTGCTGGAGACTTAATGGGACTACACTGATGAGAAATGATTGTGCACCTCTAAAAGACATCCGGAACAGAGGACATGGTGATTTCCTCAAATCGTCATCTAGGAAAAGAAACAGCAGTAGTCCTCAGTGGGTGGGAGGTTCTCCCTGACTGAGCTTGCCAAGGACTACACTGGGCGCTCCTGCAAAGGAAACCCTAATTCCTACTGTGGCAGAAGGTATAAGGAGCTGATAAGGAGAAAATCCCAGGCCCGCAGTGGTGTCATTCATGCCCACGATACCAAACCCAGATTTAAGACCTGCTCCAACTGCAGTTTCAACTTTGCCCAGAAACATAATCTTAATCACTCAGGAATTTTCTGTTCAAGAACCAGTTAACTGTCACATGGCCTTCTCCATCCCCCATACATAGAAGAGGCATGATTGAACCCTTCCCATTCTCTTCCACCACTACCCCTCCCAAAGAAACATCCTGGAGCAAAATGAATCCTTGATTTTGTTAATAGCTCCCCAGCCCCACCCTTCCTATCAAAACCTTCCACTTTATACATCCCTTCAGAGCAGCCTTCTAGTTCAGTGATGGCGAACCTATGACACGCGTGTCAGAGGTGACACGCGAACTCATTTTTTTGGTTGATTTTTCTTTGTTAAATGGCATTTAAATATATAAAATAAATATCAAAAATATAAATCTTTGTTTTACTATGGTTGCAAATATTAAAAATTTTCTATATGTGACACAGCACCAGAGTTAAGTTAGGGTTTTTTAAAATGCTGACACGCCGAGCTCAAAAGGTTCGCCATCACTGTTCTAGTTGCTAGATGGGGTGCTTGCTGCCTGATTCAGGAATCTCTGAATTCATTAGATCTTCAAATTTATTCAGTTGAATCTTGTTTTTTAACAGAGCCTTTCCTTGAGGACTCAAGTGTAGTTAGAAAAGGGAGGAAAAGGCAAACACCATATGCTTCATATTCCGTTTGTTAAAGCTTTCCTCCACCCTTTTCTTTTTGATCTATTACCAATTTTAAGCTCCTCAGGCCTGTTCTTTATATACTAATCGAATTCAAGTGCTTAGCATTGAGGATACTTAGAAAGAAAGGGGGGGAATGTTCCATCTTCTCCACAACTGCAAAATACCAGACACTGTGCTGCATCATAATTATCCCTGCCGTGGAGAACCAAGAACGTTCACAAAAGCATCATTGCGAATCTCCTTTCTAATGTGGAGGCCATCACAAAGCCTTGCTGCTCTGTCTTCTGTTTGATAAGCAGTCATTGAACACACCTGGATCGCAGAGAGACTTGCTGTATACTTAAGATGTAGCCCTTAATCCCCCAAAAGCCTGTAAATTGATTGGTTCTTTTAATAACCTGCATAATTTTTATGCAAAAACTGTTTATTTAAATCTTATTACCATATTAAATCAGAAGAGGAGCTCAGGCGCTTTCTCCTCCCTCTAGGCCTGAAGGCTAATAAAACCAGGGCTCTGCAGAATTCCTTATTTAAACAAAAGGTTTGAAAGTCTTTGTCTCGTTCATATTAACCCAGGCCAAAGGGACAGAGGAGGAAAGTCACAGGGGTTGGAGGAAGCAGATTCAGTAACTGTCCAGCAACCAGAGTGATAAGAGACCCAGAGGCTATAGTAAGAAACTGAAGGAGTAAAACCGCAAGGAGACCCGAGTCCCAGTTCCTGTCTACTATTAACCTGGTAGGAGACTTATCTCTCTCTAGGTTGGGCCTTAAGTTTTTCCCCTTCCCATCTCACGACTATAATCTATATCCACTGCAGCATCAGTGCTAGTAGCTCCACATAGTTCCATTTTATAGAACTGGTTACAAGAAGCCTTTGTCTTTGTGGTTTCAACGCCTGTTTTTCTTTCTGCACCACAATGTTTTATAGCCACAAGCCCAGCTGAATGAGATTTTAACCTTAGGCCCTTTGGGCATTTTGCTGTATGAGGTGAAGGTGGGGTGGGAAGGGGGCTCTCAGATATTTACCAGTGTTTTTCATACAGCCAATGGCATCCCCATGACAGCAGGCAGATTCCAGCTGTTGTTTTCTTCCAATGGTTTCGAAGTTTTGTAAAGATAGTCATCTTCTAGAGATTTGCCAGGTTACAGAGGCAGAAAAAGAAAAAATATACACATGATTATCCAAGGTCAGCATGCACAGTCCCTATGAATCTGTCTTCCCTTCGTTCATCCTCTCCCTGTCCCCCTTCCCTTGCTCCTTTCCTTCTTACCGCCTCTCTGGCCTCTTCCCATCTTCTCCTTTCTAGTTTAACAGTCTTCATCTCCTCACCTGCCCACCTATCTTTTAAAATTTCTTTCTTCACTTCTTCTCACCTAAAACTACACTATTTCCTTCTCTGATCACTTTTACCTTAGGAGGCAGGAGGAGCAGAAAAAGAAGAAGGAAATTCCAGGGTTCTTGTTTTTCCTTTTTTCTATGGTACAGTCACTATAAGAGTATTTGTCAATCTATTATATGAATACTAGAGACCTGGTGCACAGAAATGCCATGGCTATGTAAAAATGTTCAAATTTCCCGAGACATGCAAATTACAAAGAACTATCACTCGTCACCTATAAAATCAACATTTTTTAAATGCTCATATTCACTGATGACAAATAAAATGAGACAGACTCTCACACACTCCTAAAGGGAAAGTACATCAGCCCAATTTCACTGAAAAACAAAGGGACAACATACATCCTTATTCTGTTTGTTTTCTTCACAGCACTTATTATTTGATGATCCTCACTTGCTAATTTATTAGCTCATCCCACTGAATGTGACCTCCATGAGAGTAAGGACTTGGACTGTTCTGGTCACTGCTCTGTCCCCAGTGCCTACATAAGGCCTGGCACAGAATATCTTTGCAATAAGTAACTGTTGGATGTGATGGAGTTCAGGACATGCTCCCCCCAAATTGACTATTTCAACCTGAAAGAATCTGAGAAAATGGTAGAAGCGGAAAGGTCACTCTGACCTCCTCCCCTACCTCACCAACTAGCCTGAAACCGGTCAAAAAACCCTGTGAGAGGTGCCCTCTTTTTACCTAGCGGAAAAGAGCATCCTTCTCTCCCAAGACAAAGGGATGCCAGGAAGAATCCTGGCAAGCAGCCCCTGCTAAGTTTTTTAGGACAGTTACCTCATACTCCTTCTGCGTTCATACCCCCCACTCTTCCTCAAACCCAGCACAGAATACTCAGGTCTGTCTGCTTGGGTCTTCAATTTCTTTTGCAGGCTCCCGTGTCACGTGAAACTCAGTAAATCATTGTGCATGCTTTTCTCCTGTTAATCTATCTTTATCAGGTTAATCTACAGACCCAGCTTGGGACGCTGTGGGGGTCAAGTAGAACTTTTTCCTCTCCTACAGTAAATTTTTCTTCACTAAGAATTTTTACTGATGTGGAAAAAACTCAAAACACAATGTTAAGTAAAATCAGCAGGCTAAAAAGCCATATATAATTGGTATTATCCCAGTTATGTCCAAGCACAAATATAAATGGAGAAAATACCAGTAGAAATAAACACAAAAATATTGAAGTAGTTCGTTCTTGGTTGTGTGATAACGGGCAACATTCATTTTATTTATTAAATTGCAATGTATTTTCTAAGTTTTCTAAAATGAACATAAATCATTTTCTAAACAGATAAATATTTAAACAGAAAAAATTTTATGACTGTGTGTGCATGCGGTAAATAAACTAAGAGAAAAAAAAAAAGCTGCTTTCGCTGAAAATTCTAGTTCTCTTATTACTCCCTTTAACCACAGACAAAGACTCTCTTCTTGGCCCAACTCTAATCAGGCTCCTTTGAGCTCTCTGCTGGAGGAGGCCCAGCCTTTGGCTTCCCTCTGTCCTAATAGAATCCAGTTTGAATAAGAATTTTGTTGTCAGTTTAGCAAAAAAAAACAACCAACCAACCAACCAACCAACCAAACAAACAAAAACCACCGTAGGTATCTGACCACTCTGGCAAAAATTCTCTTGAGTCACTGTAATAAGAATCCCTTATCTCTGATATCCTAAGTAATTTTTCACTCACTAACCTCCACCTGGTTCTTGGCTACCAACCCCCACCCATCCTCGGTGGTGGGAGCTGAGTCCGATCTCCATCCCCTACACCAACATGCCCATTACAGTGTTCTCTACATCCATGGAGACGCCTCTCCCCCCGCCCTTTGAGTAAAGTCTGCCTTGCCATTCTTTAACAAGTGTTACTAAATAATTTTTTTCTTTAACACCAGCATTGGTTAAAATTCCTCTGAAGGCAAGCAACATCCTTATCACCAGCAATAATGAGACTAGGCCAGAAAACACAGCTTCCCATGAATCGGGGACACAGTCCAGGCTAGCTCATAATGGAACCCAAAGGCACATCTGGTAATAGACTGGAGGTGACATAGTGGTGCAGGTAGGGAAGTCTTCCCAGAAGGCAAGGCACTGCACTGAGTCTCGAAGAATGAGGAGGAGTTACCAAGAAAGGAGTTAAAGAGACTAATGTGCACAAAGACACAAAAAATACCAAAGTGTGTTCAGGAAAACACAAATAGGTAGTCAGTACAGATGAAGAAGAAGGTAAATATGGGCGAGTATCTAGAACAAGGCCTCTCTCAGGCCAGTGTAAAAGTTGCTAAAATGCTGAGGGCTTGTGTAAAATGCAGGTTCTTGAGCATTATCCCCGAGACCCTGACTGTTCTGGTTGGGCTGTCATTGTCGTTTTTAACAAGCACACAGGAGTCTCTAAGGCAGTGGTTCTCAACCTTCTGGCCCTTTAAATACAGTTCCTCATGTTGTGACCCAACCATAAAATTATTTTCGTTGCTACTTCATAACTGTAATGTTGTTACTGTTATGAATCGTAATGTAAATATCTGATATGCAGGATGGTCTTAGGCAACCCCTGTGAAAGGGTCGTTCGACCGCCAAAGGGGTCGTGGCCCACAGGTTGAGAATCACTGCCATAAGGGAAGTCAGCACCACACCGCACTTTGAGAAACACTGGTTGGGAGATAAAGGAGGTTCACAAAAGATCAGGAAGGACCTTGAATCCATGCTAGGGACTTTGGATTTTAAGTTGAAGATGATGAAACCTTGAAGGGACGTAAGCAAGTGAGTTATAGGATTACATTTGAACTATAGAAAGGTCATTTTGGAGCAGAATGGAAACTAGGCTGGATGAAGTTGAGCTTAAACTAAAGAAAACCAGTAGGAACTTATGACCATAACCTCCAGTCACCAAAAGGAAGGAAGGAGCAACAGAGGTAGAGGATGGATTTGGGAACTCTTTATAAAATAGAATTTGGCAGCATGTGGTGATCAATTGATTATAAGAGGTGAGAGAGGAGGAATCAAGCCAGGTTCATACCTGGGTGACTAACTGGATAATAATGATTTCAGTCATTACATTTGGCAGTACAGTGGGGCCTTGACTTACGAGTGTCCCGACTAAAGAGTTTTTTGAGATACCAGCTGTCTCTTGGCTGATTTTTTGCATTGAGTTGATAGAGTAATTTGAGTTAACGAGCTCCTTAACGAGCTCGGTCTCGGAACGAATTAAACTCGTAAGTCAAGGCCCCACCACTGTATGTGCACTTTAGGACATACTAAGTTTGAGAAGCCTGTAGGGCATCCAAGTAGAAACGATCAGCGAGGTCTGCACTTAGCAGACCTCACCGTTTGAAGCGAGGAGAAATTGTCAGGGTAGAAGCTAGAGATTTGGGACTCTTGGCTATGAAGGAGGTCAAGTTTGAGTGCAGATAAAATCATCCGAGCGAGAAGCATCTAAGAGTCCCTATGTCTGTTCAAAGGTCACCTATCACCCAATGAATAATTCGTATATTATAAACGAGTGGAAACATAGAGGCTGCCCAGTGTATTGTAGCGAGCACTAGTTCAAAGGCCCTGAGGCCTAGATTGGAGCCCAAGCTTTGTCACTTACTGGCAGTGAGAGCCTGGGTGGGTCCTGTAGCCTCTGCCTCTACGTCCTCATTAGTAAAACGAGGACATACCACCTGTTCTAATGAGCTCATTAGGCTGGAAGGAAGGCATCCGATAGGGCTTCGAATTACGTTCCTCATTAATAAATGAGGATACACCACCTGTTCTGATTAACTAATTATAATTAGGCTGTGAGGATCCCATCTGATGGGGCTCTGAATGCACTCGGCATGTTTTTCTGTAAGCATTTCTACTGTCATCCCAACATGCAATGTATCAGCTAACAATGTACACTCCTTCCAAGTACCCAACACAGTTCTTCTCCAGTCCCAGGAAAAGTCTAAATTTCCTATGTTCTGATAAACATCCCTTTGCCTGAAAAGCAGAGTTGGTGTTTTTCTCCCCAAAGAATTGCTAAAATCTCACTGTACTCGCCCTCCTCACCTGTAGGCGGGGGTTCTCTCACCAGACGCGAACCCCTCACAGGCTGGGTCGGTCCATACACCTCTAGCGAACAGAACCTAGCAAAGCCCCTGGAATGAATGAACCAACCAATCGATCAGAGATTATTCACCCCCTTTTGCAAACGACTACGCTGAAGCCCAAAGGAAAACAGCGAGGAAGGGTCACACTAGCTAGTGACAGCCCTGGGACCACAACCCCGGCCGGCGGACTCCCTCAGGGACCACTGGGGACCCCGCCGTCC